AAAAAAAAAAAAAAAAAAAAAACCGAAAAACCACCTAAAAACAAAAAACTTGGTAACAGTATAGCCCTATATAAATAAAAGATATTATTAAGTCTTAGATTATTAGAGATACTATGCATTTCTAATTTTCTTTTTGTACTGTTCATTTTCTGTACACCTACTCCTCACTTATCAACTATCTCGGTATCTAACATTTCAGATTTACAACTTTGAAAAAATTCTAAAGTGGTGCCTCCAATGGTCCAGCTCCCAGTAGAGCTGTGGCTCAGCCCAGGCCGCTCTAAATGATATACTGAAGGCCCCAGCAACACCTGGGCCATACAAGGGACAGCAGCTGATAGACTGTAGGACACCTTCTCCCATTTGTCCACAGTGTCTTAGTCCATCCATGGAGGGCACAGAATGATGGCAGAACTCAAGGTCGTAGGCAGGCAGGGGGTGGCTGGGAGAGCGACCAAAGGTGCCAAAGATGGCAGGGGAGGCAGAAATGTAGTCACAGATATCTGCAGGGCCAGCAGGCAATACCCAACCACTACCCCAACCTCCCCCCACCCAATGCTTCTCAGTGTTGGGGTAGGGGGGCGAAAGCACCACATATCTCCCAAGATGTACCGGGGGGCCGAATGGGCAGTAAGCAACTTGGGGGGGGGGCACTGGTGCCGAAGACAAGGCATAGTTCCTGACTGTCATATAAAACCAATTTCGCTTAATAACCTAATGTTTGGAATCTAACCATGTCACTAAGTGAACAATGAGTATATATGAAAATATATGTAAGGAAAATAGTAAGTTGAAAGTTAAACTATTTATCCAATGCCTCACAAACAATTATTAACAACAAATATATAAAGCACAGTATATTAGAAAACAGATTTATCTAACATTTTTAGATAACGTGGATTGTAATTATGTATCATATACCTTTGTTTTTCCCTTTCACTGATTACAAGAACTAAGAGTAGAACACACAGGACTAGAGAAAAAATATGTATGTATATACATACTGGCAACAGTACCACTGAAGCACTTGGGGCAAGTTCCAAATCCAATAATTTCTTTTTGTAATCTTCTTTGGTAAATTCCCTCCTGGGAAACATGGTTGCTAATGAAAAATTACCATATGTGTTGCCAACAGTCTGTAACATAACAAAAATTTTTAAAACTTTACAATGATGTCTTCTTAAAAGAAGATGCTTAATTACTCACATGCATCAAAAATGACTGCATTAATTAAAATTGCCTTAATTTAAAAAGCTCATAGAAATGTAAACTCAAATGTAGCTGAAAAGCTATCAATTCAAGAATTTTTCTAAAAGCTTACATAACTCAAAATTAACACAAAGTAAAAATAACAAGAATACAGTTCTTAAAGCTGAATAAATAAACTGAAAATATGAGCAATTTATGTGTACCTTTAGAGTACAGGAGCAGTTCAGTCATTCAGGTTTTCACTCTTTTGGTAAACATTTAGATGCTCTTTATTAAAAATCGACAAGAGACCACTATTTTCCTCATATTTGTAACTTCAGGAGTTTTAGCCTCCTTGTCTCAAGGCATAAATGGTCCACAGTGAACCTACCCCACACACATAATCTCAGTTCCAGGAACCTACACTAGACGCATTACCATCACCTTCACAATTTTGAGCTACTGATATTTTAAAATCTTAAAAAACAACTGTTCACCCTTTCCCTAAAAGATTCCAAAGAAAGAAGCTCACTAACACTTGTTTCTTGTGATTTTTACTGCTGTTCACATACATACCCCTCACTGTTCTCACTCTGGTGGCATAGTGGATAAGGTATTTAGCTGCTAACCAGGTCAGCAGTTCAAACCCACCAGGTGTTCCACAGAAGAAGATGGGGTAAATCTACTTCCCTAAAGATTTACAGCCTCGGAAACCCAAGAGTTGGGGGTCACTGTAAGTCAGAATCAACTTGATGGCAGCAAGTTTAGTTTTTAGAGGTTCTCTAACATAAAGACACCCCAAAATAAACAGAATTAGGCCATTCTGTATATTCGAAGATGAAGTTTAAATCGCAGTAATGCAACCAAAGATTTCCTCTCCCTTGTGTGGTTCCCTCTTCACTTACTTGTGGGAGAAGTACTAAGACATAGGACAGAGGTACCCTTCTTGGAAGGCCCCAGGTGGGAACCCAAGATCAAAAAAAGAATGAAAGAAGCTACTATTGAGCTTAGGGAAAAGGGGTCTTAAAGCATTTACTCTGTCCATCCTAGCTCATCTGCATAAAGGCTGATAGCTTTTCAGGCATCTTCTCTTGTGAACCACAAGTGAGGTAGCAGACCAAACAGGAAGAAGTGGTCTGGGGGAAAGATCTGAACCCAGCATCCCATGCCTTAATTTGAACCTTGAAGTTACATATATTTACACACACACGAAAAATATTCAAACATACCGTGACCCTACAGTATAAAGGATACCTGATACCCAAAATCCATTTTCAATAAGGAATCAATCCAATAATAAAAACTAATTGAGAGTATTCTTTTATTTTCTAAGATACATAATTTCACATTCCATTCAGATTTTGAGTAAGGGCACCTTTCAGGAGTAAATTTCTGAAGGAAAAACTTGTCAAATAAAAATTAATGATCAGACAACAGGTGAGAAAATGTCCAGCCTCAAAACAGTATAAGCAATCTACAGAAAATGAAATGAAAGGACCAAGAAGAATGGCATCCTTTTAGGAATCAGTGGAAGGAGCCCTGGTGGTGCAATGGTTAGTTAAGAGCTTGGCTGTTAAACAAAAGGTCTGAGGTTTGAACCTACCAGCCATTCCTCAGGAGAAAAATATGGCAATCTGCTTCTGTAAAGATTACAGCCTTGGAAACCTTATGGTGCAGTTCTAACTCTGTCCTTCAGGGCTACTATGTGCTGAAATCGACTTGATAGTAATGGGTTTGGTTTTTGAGGGAGGAGTGGGAAAACTTCTTCAGGTTAGACCTTTGGAAAACCACTTGCTTTCACTTCTACAGTTGAGAGAATTAATCAGTGAGAAGTTTCCAGAGCCTGTTGTACAGTATCAGCAAATTTCCTTTTCTACCCAACAAGCTGTGCCCCTATGGCACTAATACATGATGGAAGTGACACAATAACCTCCAAAGCGTCTCATGCTCCTCTCCTGTAGATAAGTCATGATTTATTCACATTCTTCAAGTTCTGTTTTAAAATCATCCCCTCCGACATCTTAATAACCTATACATGTATCTTTACTATAACTCAAGACAAAAATTTACCTGGGCAGCAAACTGTCTTGCTTCCTCCAGAGGAGCATCAGAAGAGAACTGATTTGTAAAGGAAGACCCATCAGGAAGACGGAATTGAATTCTAGCAATAGAACTATGAAAACATAAAGTTAAAATGATATCTTTTATCTCCATATATATCTTCAAAGAATATCATTAAAGGTGAGAAAAAAACGAAAAATAAAAATGTGCAAAAATACTTTCCCTAGGTCACATTTTTATTATTTTTTAATAATAGTTTTATTGAGATATATTTCACATAACATAAAATTCATCCTTTTAATCTATGTAGGAGATCCTGGATAGAGTGGGAGAACAAAGTAGAACAAAACTCAAAATCATTTGGAAGAAAAAGGGACCAGGTTTGCTGGTCTGACAGAGCCTGATGAAACCCCTGAGACGATGGCCCCTAGCTGCCCTTCAGGTCTGGAACTGAACCCACTCCTGTGGCTTCCAGCCAAACAAGAGAGGCATATGAGCAGAACATTTACACTAGATAGATACACTCCTCGGAGAGAACAATCATGGGAGAATAGAAGGGCTGTGTATACACAGAGAGACAGCTCAGGGGGCAGGAGTGCATGAAGGAAAGACACAGGGAAGAGGTAACTATGGGGAGGAAGTGGGAGGGGAGCTGTTGCAATGTGGTAAATTGTAGTCAATGTCATGAGACAAAGTATATGTGAACTGCTGTATGGAAAGCGAATTTGCTCTGTAAATTTTCACCCAAATCACAATTTAA